TTCCTTTTCTTCCTTCCTTTTTCCCGCTCCCTCCCTTTCCTTCTTTTTCTTTCTTTCTGCATTGTGCTAGTACTGGGGCATGAACCCAGTGCCTCACATTCCTGCTTAGCTTTTTCAGCTCATTCTAGCATTCTACCTACCACTTGAGCCACACTTCCACTTCCAGCTTTTTGCTAGTTAATTGAAGATAAGGGCTGAGGCTGGCTTTGAACATGATTCTTAGATCTCAGCCTCCTGAGTAGCTAGAATTATAGGCATGTACCACCAGCACCTGAGTACTGTCCTGGGTACTGTCCCTGAGATATTTTGTTAATGGCTAGCACTCTACCACTTTTGCCACAGTTCTACTTCCAGCTGATTTGGTGGTTAGTTGGAGCTAAGAGTCTCATGGATTTTCCTGCCAGGTTGGCTCCAGACTGTGATCCTCAGGTCTCTGCCTCCTGAGTAGCTAGGATTACAGGCACAAGCCACCAATGCTTGGCTAGTTATTCACTCTACACTTGGTTTAAGTAGAGCTTTGTCAATTCTTTACAATAGTTCTGGTCTTCTATCTTCACTTCCCTTCCCCACAGGTTTCCTAGCCTACAGGGCTAGAAACAATTTCTGTAAGAATTAAAGCAAAATCAAATGAAAAAGAGAAGAAAAAGAATTAAGGCAAATCAATATACCTAAAATACCCTCTAGGGAACTTTGGACTTTGGCTTGAGTTTGAAGAATGAATAGGAGAAAAGGAAATGGGCTGAATGTGGTAGAAATAAAAAAAAAAATTGAGAAGAGGCATTAACAAGGGAGAAAAAAGCGAGGTGCTGGTGGTTCAGGCCTGTAATCTCAGCTACTCAGGAGGCTGAGATCTGAGGATCATAGTGCAAAGACAGCCTGGCAGGAAAGTCTGAGAGATTCTTATCTCTAAATAACCATCAAAAAACCTGAAGTGGTACTATTGCTCAAAGTGGTAGAGCATTAGCCTTGAATGAAAAACTCAGGGACAGTGCCCAGGCCACGAGTTCAACTATTGCCAAAAATAAAGCAGGGGCGGGGGCTGGGGGTAGAAAAATTTCCTTGCAACCTTAATTTCTTTATGAATTGGAACTGATCGTCATTGTTAATACTGGGAGTGGAGCTCACAGAAAAATCAGGGTCCAAAAGCACGGATGAACCAATGAGAGCCATTGAATGTTCTTAGGCAGGAAAAAGAAATACTTGGACTTGGAAATTATACTTGTGGAAATAGCCTTATAGCTTAGAAATATGTGCTCCTATAAACAGGTTAGACAATATGAAATAAAGCAACTTGAAATCTGACACTCTTTCCCACTAAATAATCTGATATTTTTAGCAATGTCTCTCCTGAAATCATGCTTGTAGAATATTGTCTCAAACGTCATGTAAACTGAACCTATCTAAACATGTTCAGTTTTTCCCCCTTTTCCAATAGATTGTGACTAGCTTATCAAGTCAGCAGATCTTTAACATCATTCTAAATTCCTGCTTGGTCCCTGCATTGTATATCAGTACAAACCATTTATTTAATAAGTCTTCCCTCCAACCTCATGTAACCTAAGGGAATTCATCTTTACTTGATAAGGAAAATCTGCAATTAACTCAACTTGACATTGCCAGAAACAGCTTGTGGTCCACTAACACTCAAAACACTGGTGCTCTGCCTGATAAAGGGTTGTATTCCAGTCAGTCAGGGCTCAGAGTTTGGAGTAGGAACTCCTCTTGTCCTGCTGGCATAATAAACTGAGTCTCCAATTCTCGCTTGCTTCTTCTCAGGGTATTTTCTGCTACATTTTGGTTCCCTGACCAGGAAGTGACAATCATGATGGGCCTTTGAGCCACCGCTGCAGGCCTTTGCTTTCATGGGAGCACAAGATGCTTCTAAGTTTGAAAGAGGCTGTACCACCACATTGTTATTCTGGTCCTCCTTCGAGGGGCCTGGCTCTGAGAAAGTGGCAGTCTCCTGGACTCAATGGAGACATAGACCAACTCTGAACAACTGCTTCTGAATCAGGTAAGGGCCCAGGTCTCTCTAAAAACAAGCCCTATCCAGTGGACAGAAGAGCCTGATCACCTCCGATGGCCCATTTGAAGAGAGCACCAGTTTAGGACACTCCCAAAGTGGGGAGAGATTGTTTTAACCTCTTTTTTGTCAGTCGTGGGGCTTGAACTCTAGGCCTGGGCACTGTTCCTGAGCTCTTCAGCTCAAGGCTAGCGTTCTACCACTTGAGCCACAGTGCCACTTCCGGCCTTTTCTGTTTATGTGGTGCTGAGGAATCGAACCCAGGGCCTCATGCATGTGAGGCAAGCACTCTACCGCTGAGTCACCTTCCCAGCCCTCATGTGGATGTGTGAGTGAATGTGAAATTACTGTGGCTACATGGCCAAAAGCTACAGAGTTGGAGTGAGTCTTAACCTGTGATTCCATGGTGACTTCCTATGGCACAACAGTGATTCACATCCTGTAATAGAACCTCTAACCAGGCCTGGGGGGTTGTGTATTCCTGTGAGGAATGTGGCCAGGTGGACAACATGAGTGACTTACCTTTGTCTGTCCTTACAATACCGAAGTAGGGAGGAACATGGATGGGAGTCAGTCAAAACCAACGGTCTTAGAGTAATTAGAAGCAGGTATGGTGGCCACCCTTGTAATCCCATCACCTGCTAGGCTAATAGTGTAGGGCTCAAGCTCAAGGCAACCTGTTGATGTTTTTTGCCCACTAGAATGTATTTTTTTTTTGTTGGTCATGGGGCCTGAACTCTGGGCCTGGGCTAGTGCTCTACCACTTGAGCCACAGCGCCACTTCTGGCTTTTTCTGCTTATGCAGTGCTGAGGAATTGAACCCAGGGCCTCATGCATGCAAGGCAAGCACTCTACTACTGAGCCACCTTCTCAGCCCCTAGAATGGATTATTTTGAGAATAAAGGAATCAAGATGACTCTGGGGGATCTTCAGACCTTCTGTTTTGTTGAATGCTCTACTTTTGGTGTAGATTGGCCCCTGGAAGGCACTCTCCATGTCTGCCTTATTAGAGAAGTTTACCAGCTGGGAACAGGGGAGCCTGGTCATAGAGACCAGTTCCCCATACAGACTCCTGATTGCAGATGGCATTAACCCTCTCTCCATGGGTGAGTTCTATAAGGCGAGTTCTGTAAGGTCCTATTAGCAAAACCATCAGGGCCTCAGAAAATATGCTTATTTATCAGGGGGACCCTGAGGCAGAAGCAATTCAAACTAAACACTACAATCACTGCAATTGTTTAAAGGTCCCACAGTTCCCTATGGAGGCTCCTCTAGCAGCTGTCATGGGCCTCCCTCATAGCCCCCATTCAGCAGGAAGTAGCAGAGCAGAGTTCATCGCCCCCATGTCCCTATAGCAGTCTGGAAAAACGGGGTGGGATGAAGGAAGCATCAGCTGACATAAGAGAGCAGCTGTCTCAGAGGAGCCAGGAACCTGGAAAGTAAAAGTTCATCAGGCAGACCTGCTGCCAATAAGCTTAAGAGAGTGTGACAACAGCCTGGCTTTGGTCACTCCTGGGCCGACCAAGCCACACATGGCGGAAGCTTGAGGATGACCTTTTGGATCAGAATATTGGTTATAGTTGCTGTGTCTGGACTGTATATAAAATCTGTAACATCTGAGGATGGATGTCAGGATTGTGTATATACTACTCCCGTCCTGTGAAAACAATCTGATGCCAGCCTAACGAATGATTTTATTTGGTCTGTAAGTTAAAAGATGTAACTATGTTCTGGTGGTTTGAACTGAGGACCAGGGGTAGGGGACCTCTGCTAGCAGTTTCCCCAGACCCACTCATTCAGAGCAAAGATGGTTCTCAAGACTAGGTGAGCCCCAGACCTTAGTAGGCTTAGTCTTATCCATAACAGTAGGGTGCTTAATCATTCTGTGTGTACTGCTTCTCATAGCTCGCTAAGTGATAATGCTCTTTCTCGTAATATATATAATGTGTATGTATATATTAATATATAGTATATATATTATCAAAGGAGGGAATATGGAAAACCTGCCATTATCAGAACTACCTCGACCTGATATTGCCAGAACCACCTTGCAAGTAATTTTCAAGAAACTATAACCGTTGGGGTACACCGACACTCTACTGGATAAAAGGATTGTACTCCTGTCAGGCGAGTCTGAGAGTCTGGCGTAGGAACTCCTCTGGAGAGTTCTCTAGCTCTCCCAGTGCTGGTTGCTGCTTCCCTAGAGTATCTTCCACAACATTCTAAATTGTTCTATTATCTTTTCAAGGCTTGTTCTTAAAAGAAATGGGGTGTAAATGTAAATTGCCTTTAAACATTTGGATTCAAGTTGCCAGTTGTCCACAAATTTGCAGGGAGAAGGGAAGCAGCTGCTGTATTCACTCTGGCGTGAGATGGTGGCAACAGAGGATAGAGAATCACAGGTGATCTACCCACCGAGGCCAGCGATCGGTGGGTTGGAATATTCCTTCCCTTTTTCTCACTTTTTCTTAACATGGAGGAAGGAGTAAGAACCGCGTCTCGCAGCATTTCGCAGGAACCATCCTCTCCGGGAACTGTAGTACACGGCTTTGAGAAGGGACAGGAAGGAGGAGGGTAGGGACAGTGGGGCATGGTGGGATATGTAGTCTTGAGAGTGTCGAAGGGCATTCGTGCAGACTGGACATCCTTCTAGCTTTGCCACCTGACCGTGGGACTGCAAAATGGCCTCACTTGCCTGGTAGAAGGACTTGGAGTTACAAAAGCCGCCCGCAGACTATCGGCTTTTATTCCGATATTCGTTACCCGGGGCTAGCGCACGGGCCATTTGCATCAGCGCGCGCGCGCGCGCGCAGCCGGAGGCGCAGGCCGTGTCGGCCGGAGCAGGGCATGCCGGGAGTTGTGGTCTAGGCGCGCTGAGGCCGTGGGACGTGTCGCGACGCCTCGCGGGCTCCTCCTCCCCCGCCCTTCCCGGCGGTCCCCGCCCCCTCCCTCCGCCGCCCCCTCCCTCCGCCTCCTCCGCGCTCGCCCGCAGCCGAGCGTCCCCTCCCCCACCCGTCGGGCGCTGAGGCTGCTACTGCAGCGGATCCCGAGCCCAGCCGCTGAGGAGGAGGAGGAGGAGGAGGCGGAGGCGGCTCCGGTCCCCGCGCGCCATCCGCCGCCCTACTAGACTCGGGCGAGGGAGCGAGAGCGTCGCCACTGTCGCCTCCTGAGAAGACAAGGGCACCGCCGCCTCAGCCGCTACCGCGGTTTTCTCCTGCAGTCGCTCCCGGGTAAGGAGACCCCCCCCCCGCCCCGCGCCCCCTCCCCCGGCTCTCCCGTCCCGAGCCGGGGCTGGGGGTGCTGGGGCTGCGGAGCCGCCGCGCGGGCTGGGGGAGGGGGCCGAGGACGCGGTGGAACGGCGGGCCGGCGAGGGAGGCTGGTCCCGGCGCGAGCTGGGGGTGGGGTGCGGGTGGGACCCGGGCGGGGGTGGGGGGGCGCGGTGACTGTTAATGCGGGAATCATCAGACCTGGGACTGGAACGTGGGGTGTGGTGAGGGAGCCGGAGTGGAATTTGGGATGTCTTGGGGCGAGGTTGAAGAGGAGACTGGAATGGGATGGCTTCTCATGGGGGAGGGGACCGAGCCAAGGTGGTGATTTGGGGTTGGCCTGGAGCAGTTGACAGCTTGGGTTCTGAGCCGGGGTGGGAGGCGGTGGGATGATTTCAATACCGAGCGGGATGCAAACGGTTGGATTGGGACCCTGGGGAGGAAGGTGGAATTTGGGGGGTGGGGTGGGGTGGGGGGAACCTGGGACAGGCTGATGGACGTGGTTGGAACTGTGGGGGAGGGTGAGGGGCATGGCATGGATTGAAACCTGAGCTTAAAGTGGGCGGTTGTCATTCGTGGATGGTGGAATTTGTGGAGACTTAGGGAAACCGCGCGAGTTGGGAGAGAGCAAAGGGGGTAGAATCGGGGGTTTTCCTGGAGTGGGCGGATCGAGGTTGGAATAGGACCTGGTGGGGACGAGACTTTCCTCGAGAAGACCGTGGTGGTGAGCTGATGGGAGATGGTAAATTGCAAGTTGGGCCCCAAATGGGAGGGATTGAAATTGGGGGTGGGGCACGGCGGGATAGGATTTAGGGTGATCTTAGAATCACCGGAAGAGGTGCAGTGGCGCCCTAGGTGTTAAGTTGGAGGCGGGGAACACTTAAGATTGCTAGGTTGGACTCACTGAAAGAATAACGGCAGGTGGTGAGCAAGGTGGGGGGGGGTGTGTGGTGTCTTGAAGAAAATGTCCCTCTGCCGAGGTGGCAGAGGGAGTTTTGGAGAAGTAAGGTCTGTGAGATGGTGGTGAGCTGGCACCAGAGAAATGCAAGGTGTGGGAGACCTGGAGTTGTGGCGAAGAATAGGGCAGAGAGGATGGAGAGGCTCTGTGAGCAGTTGCTGGGAAGGGAATGCATTGGGTTATTCTGGAGAGGAAAGGTTGGGATGTCCTCCAAGAGATGCTGGAGGTTTAGGGGTTGGAACCCTTAAATGGACAGCTTTGGTGGCTGTTTGCGGGGAAGGGCAGTAATAAGGTCGTTGGAAGGGACTTTGAGGGGACCGAGAAGGCACATTACAGACCGTCTGCCTAGAGGACATTTTAAGCTGTCAGTTCGACCTTTTTGTTTTAGTTATATTTGTAGCCTTTGGAAGTGGTCAGCCCGAAGGGTAAAGTTGATAGGGGCTTAAGGCAGAATTAAGGAAGGGAGGGTATCTTCTATTATTCATATATCATAAAGAGGAAGTTGAAGGGAAAACCTCGCAAAGGTGGGTGGGAGAAGATGAAAATGGAATGTGATATAATCTTTTTGTATGCCGTTCCTGCCTTCTCCTTTCCTCTTCTCTCCCCCTGCTTTTAAAACTAGTCCCGGTATTTGGAATTTAAATAGATTTGATGAGCTTGAGGATGTTAAGGGTGCATTGCTTCCTTGAGAACTGATGAATGAGACTGAAAAATAAGAGGCAGAATTTATTTTCTAGGCAAGCAACGTGCATGTATGCAGAAAGAGATTCGGCCTTTTCCCCCCCTCTTAAAATTGATTGCTTGAAGACTCCATTTATTGGTGTCCTGGTTTGCAAGGCAATTAGGCCCATCATTGTATTGCAGGCTAATAATCCTGAGATGAGTCTTGGCACCACTGCTTTATATAAACAGAGCGAAGACAGGAAATATGGAAATGTCATAAATATTCATTGGTGAGATGGTTTGGTACTGATGGAGTTTTTCATTTGATTCTTTTTTTACATTCCTTGATAAGATTTTAAATAATTGGGCTATTTTTATAGATTGAATTTTCTTCTGAAGGAGTTCAAGTGATCAGAATTTTGTCAGATGTGGATAAATGAAGTATATAGTCATTTTTATTTTATTTTAATGGATGATGTTGATGTAGGCACATTGCATTAACTACAGAAATAATATCTCCATCTATCAGAAATTTGATTTAAAACTTAAGAGAGAAGCACATTTTCAGGGCAGAAGAGGAATGTAAATAGAGGGAGCATCTTTAGTGAAACAGTTTTCTGGACTTAATTGCATTAACTATGATATGTTAAACATGAAGTGGCTGTTGATTAGAGCTCAGACTGAGGGAAAATGAGGAGAGATGTAAAGGATAAAATTGGCACTAGTGAAATAAAAATAATTCTTTATTGTTTTTACTAAAGCTTCAGAGTTCAGCTAGAAAACAAGCCATTTTCCCTGTCTTTTCACATCTTTCACAGTTGAGCGCATAAAAATACCCATTTCAAATCTTTTTTTTTTGTAGTTCCAGTGGGCAAAATGATGGAAAGTTGGACGTAACCTTAGAATTGAGAGTGTTTTGTTATGAGGAAGCTTTCTGTATTACAATAAAAATCAGGATTGAGCAGTTACCTGTAACTTGATAAGAGTGTAATCTAACTAATACAAGTATTTCTCCTTATAACTTTACTCTGGGGTCCAAGCATTGCTTTTGTAAATCTGAAGGAAGAGTATAGAGGTAGGGTATTTATATTTGAAGCTCTAGCTTTGAAAGCCTAAAATAAAATTAATCACCTGGGAGAAATTGTGTTAGTGCATTCTTTTTTATCCCCGGCAGCCATGGTCAAATCGTGTAACAGTAATGTCTGTAAAGTGTTTTTAGTATCTACCTTATTTGACCCTCCAGACTCTGGTGAAAAGGAGCGAGCAGGTGGAAGTAGACAGAAGCCTGGGTAGAATGAAGTCAAGGGTCCTGCCTTCGAATCTCAGTTCCACCTCTTGAAAGCTTCATGACCCTTTTATACGTAGTGATGATGGTTGCACAACATTGTCATTGTACTTACTGGGCACAAAACAAAATACATTTATACTTCACAGGGCTGTCAAGGGGAACAACTTAGTTCCTGTCCCAAAAATGTCGTGCATATATGAAATTTCTGTTCAACGTTTGTTTACTATCCGCTTGCTAAGTGCCAGGGGAAAATGAAAATGAGCAAAAAGTAGTTGTCAAGGAGCTTCCAGTGTTATGGGACAGAGAGACAATTTAAATGTAGCCAAAGAAGTGAGGCAAAATGAATGCATGGTTTAGAATGTGGATTCTGAAGCTTGCTCACCACCATGAGCTATGGATTCTGAAACCTGCTTACCACACATGAGCTGTGTGACCTTGGTCACAGTGAGCTCATCTGTAAAGTGGGGAAAGGAACCAACCTAATGGAGTCCTTTTGTGTAGTAAACACATAAACTATGTGTATGCATAGTTAAACATACACTGTATACACAATAGACATACATAGTTGTCATTATTAGAGAGCTAGGCCGAGACTATAATGGTAAATAGTCTTGTATGCCCTCTTGAGATCTTAGAATTACGATATTCTATTACTTATTATGGAGGTATTATTTTGTATTTTAATTTTTTGTCAGTTGTGGGGCTTGAACTTAGGGCTGGAGAACTATCCCTGAGCTTTTCTGTGCAAGACTAGTGGTCTATCACTTTGAGCCACAGTGCCACTTCCATTATTTTGTATTAAGATAATATAATTTATCTGAATTTTGGATGTTTGTTGTTTAGGAACTTTTTTGTGTGCCTGTCCTGGAGCTTGAACTCAGGGCCTATGCACTGAGGGCGTTTTTTTTTTTTTTTTGGTTGTTTGCTTTTTAAGCTCAAGGCTAGTGCTCTACCATTTGAGTCACAGCTCCATTTCTGGCTTTTTTGGTGGTTAGTTGGAGATAAGAGTCTTAAGGGCTTTCCTGTCCAGGCTGACTTCAAATCTTGATCCTCAGATCTCAGCTTCCTGCTTGACCCACAAGCACCCGGCTTGTTCAGGAACTTTAAACAGTTCTTCAGATGCTAAGAAAAATACTAAACAGATGGCAGCTGTGAGCTTCTTTATCTATAAAATAAGAAATGGCTGCTGGAGGTTAAATGATTTAAGGTTATACAGCCAGTAAGTGGAAGAGTCTGCGTTATAGCACAGAATTGATTCTCCAGCCCTTTTTATATCCTTTTAAAAAAGGGTGCAGTAATTCATGTATAAAGTATACAACATGATTGACAATTTAAATAATAAGTTAAAGACCTTTATACTTGATACCCAGCTTAAAATACTAGGAGTTGAATTCAGGGCCTCTTAATGGCTTTACTTGGCTGATGTGGCTGATGCTCTAAAATTTGAGCTATGCCTCTTACCCTGCTTTTTGCTGGTTATTTTAGAATTGGAAACCCTGGGAGTTTTCTTCTTGCCTCCTGCCAACACTGCCTCTAGGGGTTGGCCTGTTTGTGTGTGTGTGTGTGTGCACATGTGCACATGTGTATGTGTGCGCACATGCGCTCATGCACAAACTCAGGGCCTGGGTGCTGTCCCTGAGCTGTTTTGCTCAGGGCTTGCACTTACCATTTGAGCCACAACTTCACTTCTGTCTTTTTTTTTTTTTTTTTGGTGGTTAGTTGTACATAGTCTCGTGGACTTTCCTGACCAGGATGGCTTTGAACAGTGGTCTCCAGATCTTACCTTGCTAGGTAGCTAGGATGACAAGCACTGACTCCTGGCAGGTTGACCTGAGTTTACAACTACCCAGACACCAGACGAGGGTCCTGGCTAATGGGCAAAGGAAACAGAAGCTTCACAGCCTTCAAGTCCTTGGAATGCTGGTCACAAGTGGCCCTCGGGCCAGTGGTGCAAGAATTAATGTAGATGTCAAAGCCCTGAGAAGGGAAGGTCTATAGAGGACCCCTGGAGGGCTGGGTGGCAGATACTCTGGGATTTTTCTATATGGGATAACA